GCTGCTTCTGTATGTTGTTGCCTGTTGGCAGGACTCAGCCCCCGACACGTGAGCCAGAGCTGGTCACAGGAACAGAGCCCAAGCAAGTCTGCAGACAATGACGTTTCCAATTAAATCCAGCAGTCTGCGAAGCATGGTAACCTGGGGAAATGAACAAGCCTGGGCTGGAACTGCCAGCAGCGGCCTCTTAAACATATTTCCCGCTCTCCAAGACAGATAGAGAGGCAGAAAGCTCCGGGGAGAAGCCATGTGTGGAGAGCCAGGCAGCCTGCAGAATGAAAGCAGCAGATTGTCTTAGCCAACTGACCCAATGCTTATCTAAATGTCCCAGATGGCTTGCTAAAAGGTCCAGGTAGCAACCAGTCCAGTTGCAGCATCTGGGGGGGCCATGGCATTCTCATCCCCTAAGGTAAGGTGAAGCTTCTACGAGGATGAGCCCTGCGGCTAAATTGGGCCACATTGTAAACTCCAAGTCCTCAAAAGATTCCATCAACGGTGTCTCCAAAAATTTTACATATCACTTGGGAAGACATGCAAACTAATGCCAGTGTACTGGAAGAAGCAAAGATCACCAGTGTCGAAGCAATGATTCGTCAACATCAACTTCGTTGGACTGGTCATGTTGTTCGGATGCCTGATTATCATCTTCCAAAGTAACTACTCCATTCTGAACATAAAAATGGAAAGCGTAATGCTGGTGGTCAGCAAAAGAGTTTTAAAGATTCTCTCAAAGCAAATCTAAAATAAAAATAAAAATGTAGTATAAACACTGACAACTGGGAAACACTGGTCTGCGAGCACTCCAGTTGGAGAACAGCCCTTACCAAAGGTGTCATGGGCTTTGAAGACGCTTGAACTCAGGAAGAAAGGGAGAAATGTGCTAAGAGGAAGGCATGCTTGGCAAACCATCACCCTGATCAACTCCCGCCCAGAAACCTATGTCCCCACTTTAGAAGGACATGTGGATCCAGAATTGGCCTCCACAGTCACTTACGGACTCACTGTTAAAGCCATGTTCATGGAAGACAATCTTACTCGGCTACAAGTGATCGCCAAAGAAGAATGTATGGTGATTCTGATGTGGGTGCTACTCAGCTTAAGCAATGTGCAAGTATTATTCAGAATTAGTATTTCAGTGGGTGAGACACCATACAAGACCAACATCACAATACTTGTTTGAGATCACTGGTTATTCAGCAATAAAAAGGCTGATCACTGTTGGAAGAATAGGCTTTGTTAGTAAGCTTTGTTGGTCATAATACATCTTTTATATCAAGAATCTCTTTTTAACATTTTGCATGTAAGGGGGGTGGGAACTTCCAATGGAAATGGGAGCAGAAATTGACAATGTCTGCTTAGTCACCCCATGTACAGGACCGAAATTAATCCAGTGGATCATTCCACAATTGATGTTCATATGTCACTGCTTTCAGTCCGCAAATGATGATGCAATTGATTATATCTTCCCCCTTTTACACTGTGTTTCCTTTGCATGGAAATGAATGGGATGGAATAACACAATGAAAGTGTAATTTATGAAACTAATTACACTGAGCTGTGTAATTTCACCGCAGCGCAGTGAGGCAAATGTTGTACGTTTCGGCAGAAGACAAACCGTGGTGGTCTAGGAACAGTCCTGCATGTGATAAACACAGGGCAAAATGGAAGATGATGTCTTCTTACTCCCTTTCCACCCATCAGTCTCTAGATAGAGAGTGAATAAGACACAGAGATAATGTATTCAGTCGGAAGAGCACGAGACTCTTACTTTATTTTATGTATTTTATTCTTAATCTCGGTCCAATATACCTGAAGGAGCGTCTCCACCCCCATCGTTCTGGCCAGACACTGAGGTCCAGCGCCGAGGGCCTTCTGACGGTTCCCTCACTGCAAGAAGCGAAGTTACAGGGAACCAGGCAGAGGGCCTTCTCGGGAGTGGCGCCCATCCTGTGGAACGCCCTCCCACCAGATATCAAAGAGAAGAACAACTACCAGACTTTTAGAAGACATCTGAAGGCAGCCCTGTTTAGGGAAGCTTTTAATGTTTAACAGACCACTGTATTGTAATACTTTGTTGGAAGCCGCCCAGGGTGGCTGGGGAGACCCAGCCAGATGGGCGGGGTATAAATAATAAATTATTATTATTATTATTATTATTATTATTATTATTATTATTATGGGTTTGAGCCCCATGTTGAGGGAAAGATTCCTGCACTGCAGGGGGTTGGACTAGACGACCCTCGTGGTCCCTTCCAACTCTACAATTCCATGATTCTATGTTGTAAACTGCCCTGTGATCCTCGGATGAAGAGAACTATAGAAAGTTAATAAATAATAATGTATTTAATATACATGTGTCATGCTGTCTGGGGCTGATGGAAGCTGTAGTGCCCAAAAAATTGGAGGGCACCAGGTTGGGGGAGCCTCATGTGGCCTTCCAGATGTTCATGGACTCTATCTCACATCATCCTTGACCATTGGCCATGCTGACCTGGGCTGATGGGAGCTGGAGCAGAACATCTATGGCGGGGCCATAGGTTCCCCAGTCCTGATACAAATTGCACAATTTAGTTGTTCAAGAACACCCTTATTTTTTCAAAATAGCGTCATGGCATAAATTTCCATCAAATTACATCTTTTTGAAGGTTATCTGGCACTTGAAATGCTTTAAGCTAACTGGAGGGCCCTAGAATATAAATAATGTTTTTTAGCACCTTCCGAGGCTCAATTCTGTTTGTCTGGTGCTTGATCCTGCTCTCTCTCCCCCCCCCCCACTTCTCCTGCATCACTCTCAGCTCCATGAATTGACATTTAGACTAGCCCCAGTCTCTGTCTGCTTCATCTCTCTCTCTCTCTCTCTTCGTCATGGTTTCAAAGCCTAAGATGTCTTTGTCCACAAGAAGCCCACCAGAGTGGAGGTCTGCAGATGCAAAGGCATGCAGATAAGGGCTGAGTCAGATATCAGTGGCTCCCATCGAATCCTATTAGACAACAGGGGTAGGGGTCAGACTGGAGGCCACATTCCCAAGGCCACCCAGCAGCTGCATGTGGAGGAGTGGGGAATTGAACCCGGTTCACCAGATTATGAGTCCACTTCTCTTAACCACTACACCATGCTGTGCTGGGGGCACCTGCTTTGAACCTGCCAGGTGCTTGGTTGGCTGGCCAAGCTCCCCCCTGCATGGGCTGGCCAGTGGTGCAGCGTGGCCCGCTTGGCTCCATTGCAGGGAGGGTTGCTCTGGCGGTGTCGGTTGCAAGGGACGGAGTGCCGCGGCTGGATCCTTCACCCTCTGTTCTCCGTGTCCCACCCTCTGGCGTACTTGCACCCACCCCAGGCACCAGGATCTCATGATGCACAGCTGCCTGCAGGTCACATTTGAAGAAGAAGAAGCGTTTGGATTTGATATCCCGCTTTATCACTCCCCTTCAGGAGTCTCAAAGCGGCTAACCTTCTCCTTTCCCTTCCTCCCCCACAACAAACACTCTGTGAGGTGAGTGAGGCTGAGAGACTTCAAAGAAGTGTGAGTAGCCCAAAGTCACCCAGCAGCTGCATGTGGAGGAGTGGAGACATGAACCCGGTTCCCCAGATTAGGAGTCCACCGCTCTTAACCACTACACCACACTGACATTCGGAGCTAAGGTTTTCCACTCCCTGCTGCAACCAGGGAGCTAGTGGGGTGTTGCAGTTAGAGTGTCAGACGAAGACCTGGGAGGCCAAGGTTCAAATCCCCACTTGGGCATAAAGTTCACTGGGTGACTTTGAGCCAGTCACTGCCTTGCAACCTAACCTACCTCACAAGGTTGTTGTGGGGGTTAAATGGGGAGAGAGAGCTGCTTGGAGGAAAAGATTGGCTATACATGCGATTTTAAAATCCCAAACCACACAAGTGCAGAGGCAGCCCTGTTCTTCATCCCAAGTACAGTGGTACCTCGGGTTACATACGCTTCAGGTTACAAACGCTTCAGGTTACAGACTCCGCTAACCCAGAAATAGTACCTCGGGTTAAGAACTTTGCTTCAGGATGAGAACAGAAATCATGCTCTGGCAGCGCGGCAGCAGCGGGAGGCCCCATTTTAAGTGGTGCTTCAGGTTAAGAACAGTTTCAGGTTAAGAACGGACCTCCAGAACGAATTAAGTACTTAACCCGAGGTACCACTGTACTGCATCTCTCCAGAGGTAGGGAGCACATCCAGCCCCACCCATTGAGCTTTCTGTGTGCACCTCTAGACTTCCTGCCATATAAATGAATGGCTGCCATTTGCTCCTACGGGGGGAAAAGAAATAAAAATTACTGAACAGGCTGTACTCATGGTATTAAAAAAACCTGTATTGCTCTTTGAGGCCTCCATAATAAATGGGCTCTTGTTTTGCATACACACACGGAAAAAACAACATAAAATAGAAAATTTATGAGCCATTTAATATGGAGAAGGTGAGAAAGAGAGAGAGAGAGAGCAAAAGACATACAAAGTGAGAAGGCAGAATGCTAATTTGGTAGTGCAAACAAAAGCAATGAATACAATCCAAAATCAATGAAAGCATAATCCTATGCCTATCCACTCAGAAGACCCACTGAGTTCAGTGGACCTTATTCCTAGAAAAGATTGTTTGGGACTGTATTGCTGTTCTATAAGAGGTTCCAGTCTCATCTGGCTCCCAGCATGTGGATATCACTTTATGACCAGCTGAGCTTCACGTGGTGTCCTGCTTCCTAACATCTCATCTGTCTCCTAGCATATGGAAATCAGTTTATGAGCTGGTGCATATGGCAAACTGCCTGCTTCACAGCTCTTAGCTCCACTTCTGCGTAGGGTAAGCAATAGATCCGTATTCCCAATGACAGGATGGTAGCAGCTTCAGCTTCAGAAAGGCTTTCAAGATCAGACAGCAAAGATCTGGGGTGTCAACAGTAGGCATCTTTCATCTCCAAGGCCCCGATCAACGCTGGTGATAACGTAGCAGGGAACCCCCATCTCATCTACAGATGGGATGGTGCATCTCAGAGACATTCTGTCTTGAATTTCTGCCTCAGAGCTTTCTGCACGTTCTGGATCTTCTCCGTGATCACCGTGTCGCTCAGATGGTCCCCAAACTTCTGCTTCAGCAAAACCCTGATGATTTTTATGCATCTCTCGTCCATCATGGGCTTAGCCTCCCGGAAGGTGTTTCCCCGCCTCCCCGTGATGGAATGGCTCTGTATATAGTCAGAACTGAAGAGCTTGTAGAGGAGTGTTTTGCAAGCGGTGCTGATCTTCTGGTCAAACCGGATGGCCTCTTTGAGTTGCCCCCTGGTGTACCCATTGAAGAGTTCGGATGCCTCGCAGGGATGGCGTGCGGGCTCTTGCTCCTTAAAGGAGGAGGCTTCCAGGTACTGTACTTTCCGCTTCAAGGAGAGGACTTCTCTCTGGAGGCTGAGGACCATTTGTTCAAGATGCTCGATCTTTTCTTCCCTAGAGGAGTCAAGCAACAACATGGATGGCTTTAAAAGGGGGGGATAGGAGGGTAGACAAATTCATGGATGATGAAGCTATCAGACCAAACTGTGGGAGGCAGTGGAAGACAGGAGTGCCTGGTGTGCTCTGGTCCATGGGGTCACGAAGAGCCAGACACGACTAAACGACTAAACAACAACAACAATAGCAGCAATAGCAACAAACTCTTTTTAGCACTTAAGAACTGCCTTGATTAATCAGATAAAGGACCTCCAGTCTAGCACTCCCTTTAGAACATCAATTTAGAACATCAGATGTCTGGGGCACTCACAGACAGAGAATGAACATGACAGCCTTTTCTTATTCTTTGTCTCCAGTCCTCAGCACCTGGTACACAGTGTGACATTCTGCTTCTAATGGAGGTTCCATTCAGCTGTTATCACTAATAGCTATGGACAGATCCATTGTCCAAAAACATCTCTCTCTCTCTCTCTTTCTCTTTTTGTCAAGCCATCTAAGTCAGCTTTACTGAACCGTGTGCCCTCTAGATGTCTGAAATGAACTAGTTCAGTTGGATGTAGTGCGAAAACCTCAGAGCTACTCCTGGAAGTAGTCCCCATAATTGCCAGGTGAACTAAAGGTGAAGGAAGTTCATGTTGGGGTAGAACGTTGAACACTTTCTAGTTCATCTTCACATTCATTCCCTTCCCCCGTCACCTCCAGCTGGAGGTCTAGAGCCTTAGCTTTCGTTAACAAAAAGGGGGAAGTCAATTATATATCGCCTTACCCCACATGCACCCACTCGACCACTTTGATAAATGGAATTGGCACCACTTTTGTGTGCATGCACACTTCTTCAGATACATGCACATGATAGCTCATACCAATGACAAACTTAGTTGGTCTCTAAGGCGCTACTGGAAGGAATTTTTTCATTTTGTTTCAACTACGGCAGACCAACATGGCTACCTACCTGTAACTTGTACTCTTTTCAGTGCCTGTTAAAAGCATTCTTGTTTAGACAAGCCTACCCAGATGCTTAGAAAGTTGAGGTAATTTTATTCTGTTTCGGTATTTTAACGTGCATCTGTTTTAAAGTATGGTTGTGATTTTTTAATTGATTTTCGTGTGTTATCTTTTTGTAAACCTCTTTGAGGTTTCTTTATAATCAAGCGGTATATAAATTTAATGAAATAAATAAGTAAATTATGAAATATAAAGAAAGTTAGGAAACAAAATGAGGTGGCAACCTTCTCTGGCTAATTAGGCAGATATGAAGGTGCTGCTGTTGTGAACGATACTTAGTCACACTTGCTGCTACTAAGCAATCAGAAGGAAGGAACACGAGGCATTTCCTGTATTTTCTTTGCTGAAGAGATTTGCTCTCTTCTAATAGGAGCAGCTTGCAGCAAGAAGTACAGGGATAGGAAGAAAGCAAATGGTGCATTACACCTTTACAGCTGTGTGGCTGGGACAAATTAGACTGGGCAAGCCTGTTCTAATCTGGAAATACAATTATGAGGAAAATTTCAGCTGCTGACATTTTTATATCAGACCTTTAATTACTGGTGTGTGACCCCTGTACTTCAGCACAGCAGTTCTGAATGTTATGAGAAATTGCTGAGGATTTGACCCTGAGACTGAAAAGGGTTACTCAACCCTGGCGTAAGTGTTATGAAGAATTAAACATAGGGGTGTCACAGTCCACTGCTGGAACTGCCCTATGTAGTTCTAGCCAGAAGGAAAACAATAGTGTTTGTGTTAGGAACCCACCTAGTAAGTGGCTGGTATGTGATTCTGAAATATTTCACTTCTCTGCCATCACTAGCAATGCTGGACACTCCAGCTAGAATCCATCCAATGGAAAAGCCAGGTGAGTTTGTGGGCCTGAAAATTGCTATTAGGTTTCCAGGCATGTCTAATCTATATCCCATTATATTCCCGCAAGATGCTAGAAATGCAATTAGGGGCAGATGGGTCTCTTCCCTGCCAGATTACCTTTCCATTTCACAAGCACTGAAGACTTTCTGAGCCACCTCAAAGCCATCCATTTCCAGAGAATTGGTGTCCTTTGACTTGTCACAGCTAGAAGAACAAACAGATAGCTGAAACAAGTGACTCCAGAGTTCATTAAAAACAGCGACAACCCACTATCTTTAGACCAAGAGAAGATTATACAGTTTTGTTTCATTTTGTGTGTGTGAAGTGCTGACACTGATGGGTGCAACTGGAGGCAAACTTGGGCAGAAAAGCAAATTTTTTTTCCTCCTTTTTTGGTTAGTGTCTACACACAGACTTATCTTTCCTCCATCCAGACATGCACGAGACATTATATCAGATTCTATTAATACATTACAAGCAGTCAGAAACATCCAAGGAGGCTGCATAACAGAGCGAGAAGGGTATGTGGCCTGGGAAGGGTGTGGAGCCTAGGGAAACTCTCAAGGGCCAAACAGAGTGGCTGCTAGGACCACATTCAGCTTCTGGGTCTGAGGTTCCCCACCTGTGTCATAGCACAACCCTCCTGCACATTATGCAGCTCACCTGCTTTCATCTCTAGCTGAGCAAAATATTCTTTAACCATCTTCTTCTCCCAAGTGTAAACAAAATCCATTCACCATATGCACATCCTCCAAGGCCTGTTTGTGTATATGGACCAGGAAATGTGCACAATTACCTTTCCATGGAAGGATTATGTGCACATTCTCCACGAGGCTGGTGAATGTGCACCATGGCTGGTGATTATGCACGTTCACCGCTCAACTTAAAATCCTCTTAACACATTTTGCCAGGAACTGAATTGCACTCCTAATTAGGGATGGGTGAATCTGTCAGTTTCAGATTCTCATTTCTCCTCTGTTAATGTTTCCACATTTCTTTGCAAAATTTGCCTAATAGATACATTTCTTCAAAGCAGTTTCCCCTTATACAATGCATTTTTGTGTTATTTCATTAATATGTTTTCAAGCTGCACTGGCTTCCGGTGGAGTACAGGGTCAGATTTAAGGTGCTGCTTTTGACCTTTAAAGCCCTTCACAGCCTAGGACCATCGTACCTACGGGACCGCCTCTCCCGGTATGCCCCACGGAGAGCCTCAAGGTCCATAAACAGCAACACCCTAGTGGTCCCGGGCCCTAAGGAAGTTAGATTAGCTTCAACCAGAGCCAGGGCCTTTTCAACTCTGGCTCCGGCCTGGTGGAACGCTCTGCCTCATGAGACCAGGGCCCTGCAGGATCTGATTTCTTTCCGCAGGGCCTGTAAGACAGAGTTGTTCTGCCTGGCCTTTGGCTTGGAGCCAATTTGATTCCCTCCCTCCCTTTCTTTTTTCTTTTCCTTTCTTCTCCTGCGATAAGGCTACATTTTAATATTTTAATGTTTCAATATTTTAATGTTGTATTTTAATTTTGTTTTTAAGTTGTAATCATTCAGCTTGTTTTTATTATTGCTTGTTAGCCGCCCTGAGCCCGGCCTTGGCTGGGGAGGGCGGGGTATAAATAAAAATTATTATTATTATTATTATTATTATTATTATATGCATTTTTAGGGACACTTTACCCTAGTACATGCATTTTTGTACTTGGATGGAGAACTGCATTGCAAAATTCAGAGAAGTGCAAATTTCAAAGGATGGCTGTGTTTCGGTTTGCGTATACTTTCAGAAAGTGTGGATTACATAGGTTGGCCTTTAAACGTGAACCAAATTAAACTTCTCCCCAACCCCTACTCCTAATGAAAATGAAAATCAAAATGCTTGATCCGTATACCATGACACATTTGTACAATTTGGGGGTTTTTTAGGGGGAGGGGGGAATACATTACCTGTTTATGAAGATATGTTTCTGACATTGGGCCAGAAGATCATCAGACCTCCTCCTAGTTGCTATGTTATTGTAATCTAAAAAAGAAGATAGGATAAGGAAAGATTATGTAAAATTAAACATGGCAGATGAAAACCCCATTGTTGTTCTAAGTGCAACCAATGCATTTATGACCACCACATTAAAGTGATGGTCTTCTAAGGATTCAACAGCATTTAGGTATCCATTTTGATGTGTGATTTTCTGATTTCTTTGACAGAGATACTGAGGAGAAGATCCAGTCTAATGTTACTGTAGAGTCGGCTCCAAATGTAATTCAATATAATAATAATAATAATAATAATAATAATAATAATAATAATTTATTTATACCCCGCCCATCTGGCTGGGTTTCCCCAGCCACTCTGGGCGGCTTCCAACAAAGTATTAAAATACAGTGGTCTGTTAAACATTAAAAGCTTCCCTAAACAGGGCTGCCTTCATATGTCTTCTAAAAGTCTGGTAGTTGTTTTTCTCTTTGACATCTGGTGGGAGAGTGTTCCACAGGGCGGGTGCCACTACCGAGAAGGCCCTCTTCCTGGTTCCCTGTAACTTGGCTTCTCACAGTGAGGGAACTACCAGAAGGCCCTCGGCGCTGGACCTCAGTGTCTGGGCTGAACGATGGGGGTGGAGACGCTCCTTCAGGTATACTGGGCTGAGGCCGTTTAGGGCTTTAAAGGTCAGCACCAACACTTTGAATTGTGCTCGGAAACGTACTGGGAGTCATTGTAGATCTTTCAATAATGATAAGTGCATCTTCATGCTCAGAAACCTCATATATGCTTCTATGCTCACAGGAAGCCCCTCAAATCCACAATTTATCAGTCATTTCAATGGAGGGAGAAGAGCCACAAAGTCATTCCTTTGTATGCATTGCGTTTCCTCCACAGTGGGGAAGGAAGCCCTTGCAAGGGAGGAAATTCTGTATGAAACTCATGTGGGAGGAAAATATATAATCCTTGTGACCCATGCGTGTGGGGCGAATAGCAAAAGAATCGGCTGGGTGCCTGGATTCAAAACGTGGGATTAAACTCACTCTCCAGCAGGAGAGAAGCCTCCAGTAGCAGAGTTTAAACACATAAAAGTTAAGCAGCACTGTGAAGTGTTAGGAATGTAGGCTGTTAAATCTTTTTATCCCAATCAGTCCACTTGCAAAAAGCGCTCCTCTTCTTCTAACCTGCTTAAAATGAACAGACCATGCTGTGAAGTAAGTTTAAAATGCTTCACGTACAAAGCATGCCAAAGGTCAGATTCATGAATTTATCCAAGCAGCAGCAAGGAAAACACAGGCAGAACACTCTTGTGGAAACCTTTTGGAAAAAGTGTATTTCTGAGGTTTGATGGCTCATAACACCACTTCATTTTGAGTAATACCATAAAATTGTAAATCAATGGAAAGATAATTTATTGAAGAATGTAATGCAACAAAGTTTGTTCAATTATATGTTTCTATCAAAAGGGACGTGGGTGGCGCTGTGGGTAAAACCTCAGCGCCTAGAGCTTGCCAATCGCATGGTCGGCGGTTCGAAACCCCGCGGCGGGGTGCGCTCCTGTTGTTCGGTCCCAGCGCTTGCCAACCTAGCAGTTCAAAAGCACCTCCGGGTGCAAGTAGATAAATAGGGACCGCTTACCAGCGGGAAGGTAAATGGCGTTCCGTGTGCTGCGCTGGCTCGCCAGATGCAGCTTGTCACACTGGCCACGTGACCCGGAAGTGTCTGCGGACAGTGCTGGCTCCCGGCCTATAGAGTGAGATGAGTGCACAACCCTAGAGTCTGGCAAGACTGGCCCGTACGGGCAGGGGTACCTTTACCTATCAAAAGTTATAGCCAAATAACCAGAAAAAGGATGCACAACTTGCTTAGGGTGATTGATTTCATTTGAATGTAGCCAATGAGCATGAGTGTTTAGAGAGCCAATCAGCTGTTATGAGCCATCAAACCTCAGAAATACACTTTCCCCAAAAGGTTCCCACAATTTTGGCCACTAGTGTAGCTTCAAACACATGCTCTAAGCTTGGAGCACGTCTTCCTTGATCAGTTACATGGCATGGAGTGAGAGATAACAGGAAGAAGTCTTCACTTCCTCCCTTATTGGAGAAAAGGGGGAGTGACCTAGCTGAGCCTAGGACTTCAACTCTATTGCCTTAGCTTATGGGTAGGCAAACTAAGGCCTGGGGGCTGGATCCAGACCAATCACCTTCTAAATCTGGCCCGCGGGAATCAGCATGTTTTTACATGAGTAGAATGTGCCCTTTTATTTAAAATGCATCTCTGGGTTATTTGTGGGGCATAGGAATTCATTCTTCTTCTTTTCCCCCAAAATATAGTCTGGCCCCCCACAAGGTCTGAAGGACAGTGGACTGGCCCCCTGCTGAAAAAGTTTGCTGACCCCTGCAGCTCTTCCATGCACTAACTAGCACTCATGCATAGTTCTGTTTGACTGCAATTTCCCACAACTCAGAACACATGGCATACGAATTAGCAGGCTCATATGCTGGGAATACAAATGAATGTAATCATCTCACATTTGCTGTACACCTCTTGCAGCCTCATTCCATTCTTTGATCATAACAGATGTTTTACCTCTGGTTGCTGGGCTTGGCCTCGTTGCCCCTCTTGGGAATGCCCCAGCAGAAGATATCGTTAGGAAAGAAGGCGATACATGAAAGGGAGTAGAAGAGTGAGGAGTGGCTGGTTCAGAGGAATGGGACCTCATCATGACACCAAGGGTGCGCACCTCTCTAAGGCCAGAAGAGGTTGCAGGATCTTGCTGGAGATCAGCCTCTTCATCTTCCACAGTGGTCTCGACATCTTTATCACTGGGGCATTTCTTCAAACCGTTCCCTGGGTTCCACTTGGGAAAGGACTTTCTGGACCTCTTTGGCTGTGGTGGCCCCAGATTCTGCACTGCTGACTGATCATCTGAAATCAAGAAAAGTGCACCAAACAATAACATTGTGTGTGTTATTCTTGCTTGTACAATGGTACCTCTGGTTGCGAACAGGATCTGTTCTGGAGGCCCGTTCGCAACATGAAAAGAGCGCAACCCGCAGCTGTGCATCTGCGCATGAGCGGGTCGCAATTCACCACTTATGCGCATGTGCATCATTTTCTACATCTGAGCATGCACAAGTGGCGAAACCCAGAAGTAACCCTTTCTGGTACTTCCGGGTCGCCACGGGACATAACCTGAAAGAACGTAACATGAAGCGAACATAACCAGAGGTACCACTGTACAGATTTGTTGGCCAAAGAATTGCACTGTATAGCATGACTAGAATATTCCATATTGAGAATTCCCTTATAAAGACTAGTCTGTCTAGTCCCACATTGTCATCTACTGTGATGGGCTGTGGCTTTCCAGGAACTTGAACAGGGAACTTTTACAGCATCTGCTGCCTAAACTTTTTAGGAATGTAGGATGGTATCTTAGTCAGAGCATTGGTTGATCTAGCTAAATATTGTCAGTGTAGACTGGCAGCATCAGGACCAGCTGCCCAGCAAGCATTCCACAAGTACAGAGGCCAGGAAGAACATTTATTGATTATTACATTTGCACCCCATCTTTCTCTCGCTCCTCTTTTTATCCTTGTAACAAACCTGTGAGGTTGGTTAAGCTGAGAGACAGTGCCTGGCCCAAGGTCACCCAGTGAGCTTCATGGCTGAGTGGAGACCAGAACTAGGTCCTTGTCCAACACTCTGACCATCACACTACGTGTTTGTTTGTTTGTGTGTGTGTGTGTGTGTGTTTTTTTTCTTTCCATTAGACATTTCTCTAGAGCTCTGCAGCCTCCCTAGCTGCCCGCACTTCCTGATATGAAAAAGAAGCCAAAGGAAGAGTTATCTTCCCCAGGACTTTATCTCAATTATAGGAAAGTGGGAAGGCTGGGTAACAAGTGTCTGACATTTGTGTGCTTGCTGATTTTTCTTCTAAGGAAACTGACTTCCTCTTTTAAAAACAACAATTCACAGCTGTCCGGTAGAGATGCCAGCTTTAGTTTCTCTCAGTTTCTCATTTTCCCAGTCTTAAATTCAGTTCTGTATTTCTCCGCTTGTGATTAAAAAAAAAAGTCCTCATGAAAATTCATCAGCATTTTAGTGTGTACACATTTCTGCAAAGCCATTTTCTCCAATTAAATGCATTTTTGTATATTATTTTCACTACTATATGCATTTATATGCAAAAAATAGCTAAGTATCTGCATGCTTGTAGACATTTCTTGGCCAGAGAATTGCACTGAATTTTGAAGGCTGTGTTTTGGTTCACATATTCGTTTTGAAAACAGCAAATTCAGTAAGTCCACATTTAAGTCCCTGTTTAGGGAAGTTTTTAATGCTGGAAGTTTTATTCTGTTGGGAGCCGTCAAGAGTGGCTGAGCAAATCCAGCCAGATGGGCGGGCTATAGATAATAAAATTATTATTATTATTATTATTATTATTATTATTATATTAACTGAATCTATTCCCCTTCCCCTTCATACTGCCAGGAACATGGTAGACAGCCTCCCCATCTCCCCATGCTTATAGGGAAGTTCAACCAAAAATAGCATGGGATTTTGAGGAAGTGCAGGCACCCAGGGAGGCTGCAAAATGAAGATCACTGCCGAGATGATTTGTGGAATGAAATAAAGGACAGCCACAAAAGTCTTTTGGCCACCTCGGAAGTAAGGTAAGGATGCCCCATCTACGAGCATTTAATGATAATTATCTCTCCCCTTTGACACAATTTTCAAGTGCAATCTCTGTTCTCATTTATTGGTGTAGAAGGGTAGGGAAAATGCAGAAGGAAGCTTTGGAACCATACTAATTTAGATCCTTTCTGAATTATGTTTTGAAAATTTAATATTGGACTGCCCTGAGCCCCTGCTGCACTTACAAAGCACAATTAGGGACTCTGCTTACCCAACATCTCCAGCAGTTCTTTATCCTCTTGTAGCTTTTTCTCCAGGATATATTTATGCTCTGTTGGAAGAAAGGCCTTTTAATATTCATTTTTCACCTCCACAAAGGTTGCAGGCAAATCCATCCCACTGTGCTGTAGAACCGTCATCAACTTTTGCCCAATACAAAATTTTGACAACAATAATACATGCCATTTACTTAATGCTTTGGAATACTCAAGGCAATTCATATACAGTGGATTGATTCCAAGTCATTGCATGAGCAGAAATCTGTCTTGCCCAACAAAACTTCCCCTTTTTCTCCGCACCGCCCCCCGGCCCTCGGTGCACCTCTGCAAGCCCTCCCCACCCCCAAATCTGCTCTGAGGGTTTTCTCACTTCATTGGTGCAGATTTCTGGGTGACTGAGGGCACAGGGAGAATGATAAGGAGGGGAAGTTCCACATGCACAGTGATTTCGTTGGATCAATTCATTGTTTCAGCGGTCCTCAAAAAAGCCATGAATTCTGCCCATTTTGCAGATGAGCAGACTGCAGTCAAGAGACAGAAGTTTTCCAAAGGCCCATTCAGAGAGCTCATAGCAGTGGCAAGATATGAACTAAGGACCTCCTGATCTGGTTCATGGTTGGTCTTCTGCAGCCCAGCTTTAATGAATATTTACTTGGAAGTAAGTGCTACCGGGACGCGGGTGGCGCTGTGGGTTAAACCACAGAGCCTAGGGCTTGCTGATCAGAAGGTCGGCGTTTCGAATTCCCGCAACGGGGTGAGCTCCTGTTGCTCGGTCCCTGCTCCTGCCCACCTATCAGTTCAAAAGCACGTCAAAGTGCAAGTAGATAAATAGGTACCACTCCGGCGGGAAGGTAAACAGCGTTTTTGTGCGCTGCTCTGGTTCGCCAGAAGCGGCTTAGTCATGCTGGCCACATGACCCGGAAGCTGTACGCTGGCTCCCTTGGCCAATAATGCGAGATGAGCGCCGCAACCCCAGAGTCGGCCATGACTGGACCTAATGGTCAGGGGTCCCTTTAACTTTACCTTAAGTCCTACCAGGTCTAACAGGACTTATTCCCAAGTACATTTGTACAGGACCACCATTTTAAATCACTCTGTGACACTAGTTATCTTCAAGGGTAAATTAGGAAATTTCTACTCAGATTTTGAGGGAAGCAAAAAACATTTGATTAATTGCGGGGAGATGGAGCCACACTTTTCTGGGCCTGCAGTGAATGCTGGTTGTTAGTCAAGCTGTGTTGTGGATGTACGGGATGCACAAATCTCTTAGATGGAGATCTCTCCATTTTTTCCAGACTTAAGCTCAGTTCACCACGTTTGCACATGTTTGTAATATTAAAAAATCAGCATTTTTGTCCTCATATTCCCTAATATATCTATTTTTGCAAGCAATTTCCCCCTGATGTAATGTATTTTGTATGCTATTTATATTAACACCTGTATTATTGTTCTTTATGCGCTACATTTACATCCTGCCTTTCCTCCAAGGAACTCAAGATGGCTCAAGGCGTGAAGCAGGTTAGGCTGAGAGGCAGGGACTGGCCCAAAGTCACCCAGTGAGCTTCCTGGCTGAGTGGGGATTTGAACTCTGGTCTTCCAGGTCCAAGTCCAACACTCTAAGCACACTGCCATGCAGTTCCGCACACTTTCGCTTAATGTGCACAATTTTTGTTCCCTATTTGTGTAGGTTAAACCACTTGCTCGGTCCCTGCTCCTGCCAACTTAGCAGTTCGAAAGCACGTCAAAGTGCAAGTAGATAAATAGGTACCACTCTGGCGGGAAGATAAAAGGCATTTCCGTGTGCTGCTCTGGTTCGCCAGAAGCGGCTTAGTCATGCTGGCCACATGACCCGGAAGCTGTACGCCGGCTCCCTTGGCCAGTAAAGCGAGATGAGCGCTGCAACCCCAGAGTCGGCCATGTCTGGACCTAATGGTCAGGGGTCCCTTTACCTTTATTTGTGCTGGAGAACAGCATTGCAAGTTAGGAAGAACTTCCTGACAGTAAGAGCTGTTCGACAGTGGAATTTGCTGCCAAGGAGTGTGGTGGAGTCTCCTTCTTTGGAGGTCTTTAAGCAGAGGCTTGACAACCATATGTCAGGAGTGCTCTGATGGTGTTTCCTGCTTGGCAGGGGATTGGACTTGATGGCCCTTGTGGTCTCTTCCAACTCTATGATTCTATGATTCTATGATTCTATGCAATGCTTGAAGAAGTGCAGATTTTAGTTGTGCTGTGGTTCACATGCTGCAAATTGCTAAAACCAAATGTATCCTGCATCCCTAGTGGATGCCATCCTTTGATCCCTTATGGGCACAGGATGGCCTGTTGAGAGTCCTGGGCTGTTCAAAGTTGATAAGACTTGGAAAAAGAGTTTCAAAGTTTTGGGGTTCTTTCCTCTTTGAGCAGAACAACGGAGGAACTTCTGAGATCTTGGAGAGCAAATAGAACAAATTTTCAAGGCAGTACCTCCATAAAACCCACCCATTAATGGAAGTGTGTTTGTTTGTTGGTTATTACAAAAACTTAGCTATATAGTGAGTTCTGCTTACCGCTTATTCCTTCCACAATTCCCCAATACAGACCACTGAAGCCTGGGCATCGGGCCAGAACTTGCTCCCCAGCCTCATAGAGGTGGAAAGGTTTCCGTGGTTCCTTGATGTTTTCAATGTTGATAACACGGCTTCCGTCTGGCCAGCGGATGAGAACATAAAGCTTGGCAGCCATTGGCATCTGGGTCACTTAAGATAAGAAAGAAGAGACAGGGAAGATCTGAGGGAACAATTCACACGTCTCTTTCTTGAAAGGAAGAAAACCACCTGTTAATGCATTATGAGTTGGTATTCTAAGCTTTCTGCAAATGGTTAGCAAACACTTTACCTATTGACACATGCCTACAGAGTTTGAAATCGAACCAATGGAGAGATACAGTGCCTGCTGTGGCTGTAGAGACATGTTTTGGGAGAGACATGTTTTGTTGCAGCCGGGGCAGATGAAGACATCCGATTGTGCTGCTGCAGACGCACCTTGACATTTCTTCTCTCTACACTTCTCCCAGCGGTTTTTGTCAGTTTTTAAATGTATCTGTTGTGTTTTGAATTTTTAAATGCTTCTGATTATCCTCTGTGTGAATCGCCTTCAGATGGTGGTTTAGAAGGCAATTAATAAATTAGCTGTGATCATCGTCAGAGTTCAAGGGCACATTCCAGCCAGGCAAAAACAGCTGAGGGTGGGAAGCAGTACCAATGAGGGGTGTGGCCCCAGGGATAAGGGGTGTGTCTGAGGAGTGGGCGTGAGCTGGGGAGAATCCTGAGGACCAGGTAGAAAGAGCTAGAGGGCCACATTTGGCCACCAGGCCTGAGGTTCCACATCCTTGAATAAAGAAGGCTAGACACCATATTTGCTGACACATCTGATATTATATGGTTGGCATGAACATTGAAATCTTACCTTCTGTCCCATTGCTATGTGAGATGTCATGGACAGCTGCAAGACGCTGGGCCTTTTCAGTGGTGGCACTGTGAAATGTCCTCCTGATGAAGAATCATCAGGCTTCCCTTCTTTTTGTCTCTAGGCATCTACTGAAGATCTTTTCAGAAAAAGAAATCAAGCTTTTTTCATTTTTTTAAAAAAACTATCTGCATGGTTGTTTGTTCATTTATTTTGAAATCATTTTTATTGGATTTTACAAATATAAGTTTATATCAATACCAAATACCTATCCGTATACATTTCTCTGAATCTCGAGCCTTCCCCCCCCCATCCCCTCCTATCGTCAACATTTTCAACTACATCTTATTTCATAATCTGTATTTTGTATCCATCCATATTATCCATAGTATTTGTTACATTACAAGTGAAATTAAAATCCTGCTAATGTTTTCATCTGCTTACAGTGGTCTCCTAAGTAAATTATAATTTTTTCCAATTCTTTTTTAAAGTTTTTGTCCTCTTGGTTCCTGAGTTTTCCAGTTAGCTTTGCCATTTTGGCGTAGTCCATCAGCTTGGTAAGCTTTTTTCATTATTAACAACCTGCTGGTTGTATGGGTTGCATTAAAGCTGCTATTTTAGTGCTGCTATTTTCTGTACTGTGTTCTATTGTTCTCAGGGCTGGCCTAAACAATGATAGATATCAGATGTGAAAATCTAAATGATTCTCACCACACAATCAGTGTAGAGTGCTATAAGCTGGCCAAGTTATGTTGGTATCTGCGCCAGAAAAAGCTCACAAATGCCTTTCCCTGGGAGACAAATATACAATAAAAAACAACTTTTTGCTGCCCTCTCGCGACACTCAAAATCAGCTGCCTGAGGAGGCTGCCTCACTCTGCCTAAAGAAAGGACCAGGCTTAATGGAGGCTGCTTAATTCTATTTTGCTTAATTTTGATTGAGCTTAAAGCCACAGAAATGTTGATCTAGGGCAGAGATCTCATGGATCTTCATGGTTTTTTTACACAGGACAATGAAACTATCAACAAATCATAGGACACATGTGTGAAGGCAGGAAGAAGAAGAAGAAGAAGAAGAAGAAGAAGAAGAAGAAGAGGAGGAGTTTGGATTTGGTATCTCGCCTTTCACTCCCCTTCAGGAGTCTCAAAGCGGCTAACATTCTCCTTTCCCTTCCTCCCCCACAACAAACACTGTGAGGTGAGTGAGGCTGAGAGACTTCAAAGAAGTGTGACTGGCCCAAGGTCACCCAGCAGATGCATGTGGAGGAGCGGAGACGCGAACCCGGTTCCCCAGATTACAAGTCTACCGCTCTTAACCACTACACCACACTGGCTCTCATAGGAATGAACTATGTTTTGATATGGTTACAAGGATGCATAAGGATATTTTTGAGCAATGACAGTGCTGGAAGGCAGAAGGTCCACTATTTTTACAGCTCAATCAAAAGAGACAAATGTGATCTGTGATCTGATGGAGATTTGGGGAATGAACTTCTGGGGGAAAACCCATGAAAGTTCAATTTTACTGGATCCAATGTGCGTGCGGGAACATGCCTCCCTCCTTCCTAACTTCTGTGCCACCCCACTTTCTCTCCCCTGCTGTTTCCTCCCTCCCAGTTATTTTCTTTCCTCCTCCAAGTCTCCCAGATCATCGCCCTTCCACTGGCTCGGTCTACCTGTTCCCCATTTTCCGGCAGCCACGATGGGTTATCAGGGAGAAGACACTTGCAGGCATCAAGTCTAAGAGATGCAGGACAGAAACTGATCATTCCCTTTCCCTGTCTCTAGAGTCTGATGTTGTTCAAATTAGCCTTCTTGATTAAAAGCCTCAATCTAATTTAAACATTGCTCAGTCCCGCTCCAACAAAATCTTTTAATTACCATCCATGTGGAAACGTTCGTTACGGAGATGTTAAAATTCTGCACATACCCTCACTCCCCCGGCCACAAACTGATGGTCCTGAAGCTCCTGTTTACGCATTTTGCAGTAGCTGCTCTTGCTCAAGCATCTTTAGACCCAAACCACAGGAAATATTAACCACTGGGAGTATACCCTGCAAACAAATAGCTTTTCCTCTCTGGATCAATGCATCAGTGCAACCACCGTTTCATAGAAATCACAAAAGGAAAGCCCCAAACCAAACCCTCCAGCTGAGATGGCAAATCTTTTCAAAATACTGATTTAAATCTTCTAAAACTACTTGCCTGAATTACACACTGCCCTCATTTGTGTGTGCTCTGGGCTGCCTGAGTGGGAACTGGAGGCTGTGTGTCAGTGCATACGCAATGCATTTGCAAGCTATACATTTGCAAGCTGCGTGGCCACCAATCCAATCCACAAAGGCCCCAATTCTGGCTTTACATGGAAATTTAGAAGGGTGGGGAAAAAATGCTCCCCCTCAAACTCAACACCCCATTTGCCTATTGATTCCAACCTTCTGCTTTTAACCAGTCACCATTTCATAAAAGGTCTGTTCTCTTATTCCATGACTGCTAATTTCACTCCCTTTGGTGAGGGACTTGGCCAAAAACATAATATCTACCACAGGGATGGGCAACTTGTGAACCTCCAGATGTTGTTGGACTGTAACTTTCATCAGCCCCGGCCAACATGGTCAATGATGAGGACTGATTGGAGATGCAGTCCAGCAATAACTGGAAAGTCATAGGTTCTCCACCAATGGTCTGTTGGATTGCCTGTATCAAAATGCTTATTGACACTTGGAAAGAATCCTAGAACTCTGTGGGTCCCCAAAGGAAGAGAAAATTCTTGGGTAGCTTTGAGGAAACAAGGAAAAGCGATGGTGAGGGAAGACCATGCTGCTGCCAAGGTAAATAGTGTACCAAACTGAGATTTCAGTTTCTCCATTTTATATAGATCAGAGCTTGCAGGGCAGCAGTTGAAGAAGGAGCAAAAAGGGTTTTCTGGACCGCTGTAGCCACCCCCAACGACACGTTCTCAAGATGGAGGGGGAGGGAACAGCTGCAGTCACCTGCGGTTCCTGCGCAATGTTTGCCATCTTGCCAAAGGTTGCAGGCAGCTTTACCTGCAGCAATTGCATGTTGATAGCCCTCTTAAAAGACAAAGTCCAGCAACTGGAGGAACGTGTAGCTACGCTCCAAAGAATTAGGGAGCTGGAGCTTTTTTTGGAAGCAACAGAGCACAACGTCTCCACCAAGGAGGAGACAGGGGACTCCCCTGACAAGGAGGCTAGTACACCAACACAGGAGCCAGATATATGGAGAAACGTGACTCAAAGAAGTAGGAGGCCCAGGGTTCGCTCTGATTGTTTAGAAATACACAATCGCTTTGAGGTCCTCTCCCCTAGCATGGAAGACGAAGAGCAGACTCCATTTGAGGATCTCTCCCTCATTACAGTCGATCAGGTATATGAAGACGAGCAGCAAAGTCAGTCCTCAGGGAATGTGCAGGCGACCTTGGAACGGACAGCTCACGGAAGAACCCCGACCAAACCTAAGAGGAGGCGTGTAGTGGTGATAGGGGATTCCCTACTGAGGGGAACAGAAGCAGTGATCTGTGGGCCTGACAAGATGTCTCGGGAAGTGTGCTGTCTCCCGGGCTAAGATCCAAGATGTAACTGAACGACTGCAAGGAATCATAAAACCCACTGACAAATACCCCTTCCTCTTGGTTCATGTGGGAACCAATGACACTGCAAGCAATAGCCTCCAGAAGATCAAAAGAGACTATGAGGCTCTGGGCAGGAAGTTGAAGAAATTAAATGCACAAATTGTCATCTCATCTGTCCTCCCAGTTGAACGGCATGGCCCAGGGAGAGAGGGAAAAATAGTGGAAGTGAACAGCTGGCTTCGCAAATGGTGTAAACAGGAACGGTTTGGATTCTTAGATCACGGACTGCAGTTTCTTGAAGATGGACTTCTGGCAAGCGATGGGCTGCACCTCACAACGGTTGGGAGAAATGTTTTTGCCAAAAATCTCAGAAACCTCATCAGGAGGGCTTTAAACTGACTAATGTGGGGAGGGAGACAGTGCTCCTGAAGGTAGGAGTCTATCAATTGATGAAGATGATCATCCAAATGTCATAGACCAAATGGAGCAAACAGCACGCAGACCTAGTGGTGGGAGGAAAAAATCCTTAAATAAGAGACACGGGGAATGATTAATGGACTTCAATGTCTGTACACTAATGCGCAAAGCATGGGAAATAAACAAGATGAGCTTGAGCTCTTGGTACAGCAAACTAAATATGACATAATAGGCATCACTGAAACCTGGTGGGATAAGTCCCACGATTGGAATG